CCAGCACGCTCTGAGGGAACGGACCAGGTGTCCGGGACACCTGAGCCAGGGAAGGGCTTCCCCGCGCTCTCCCCTTAGTCTGGGGGTTGACGCGGGCTCGCGAGCTGGCGGGCGGGCGGTGGCGACCCAGCTGGAGTTGCAGAGCTAACCTGTGCTCCCCCTCCCCGGCTCTATCCGCAGGGCTACTCCGCCGTGAGCAACATGAATGCCGGCCTGGGGATGAACGGCATGAACACTTACATGAGCATGTCGGCGGCCGCTATGGGCAGCGGCTCTGGCAACATGGGTGCCAGCTCCATGAACATGACATCTTACGTGGGCGCTGGCATGAGCCCGTCCCTAGCGGGCATGTCTCCCGGCGCGGGCGCCATGGCTGGCATGGGTGGTTCGGCCGGGGCGGCCGGCGTGGCAGGCATGGGACCGCACCTGAGTCCGAGCTTGAGCCCCCTCGGGGGCCAAGGGGCAGGGGCCATGGGTGGCCTGGCTCCTTATGCCAACATGAACTCTATGAGCCCCATGTACGGGCAGGCGGGTCTGAGCCGCGCGCGGGACCCCAAGACATACCGGCGCAGCTACACGCACGCCAAGCCGCCTTACTCGTACATCTCACTCATCACCATGGCCATCCAGCAAAGTCCCAACAAGATGCTGACGCTGAGCGAGATCTACCAGTGGATCATGGATCTCTTCCCTTTCTACCGGCAGAACCAGCAGCGCTGGCAGAACTCCATCCGCCACTCGCTCTCTTTTAACGACTGCTTCCTCAAAGTGCCGCGCTCGCCGGACAAACCCGGCAAGGGCTCCTTCTGGACCCTGCACCCCGACTCGGGGAACATGTTCGAGAACGGTTGCTACCTGCGCCGACAGAAGCGTTTCAAGTGCGAGAAACAGCTTGCTCTGAAGGAGGCAGCAGGCGTCCCCGGCGGGAGCAAGAAGACAGCCGCCGGGGCCCAGGTCTCACAGGTTCAACTGGGGGAGGCAGCCGGGCCCGGCTCCGAGACTCAGGCGGGCACTGAGTCACCCCACTCCAACGCCTCCCCATGCCAGGAGCACAAGCGAGGATCCTTGGGAGAGCTAAAGGGGACGCCCGCCACAGGGTTGAGCCCCCCAGAGCCAGCGCCCTCGCCAGGGCAGCAGCAGCAGACCGCGGCCCACCTGCTAGGCCCGCCCCATCATCCGGGCCTGCCCCCGGAGGCCCACCTTAAGCCAGAACACCACTACGCCTTCAACCACCCCTTCTCCATCAATAACCTCATGTCATCGGAGCAGCAACACCACCACAGCCACCACCACCACCAGCCACATAAAATGGACCTCAAGACCTATGAACAGGTGATGCACTACTCTGGCTACGGTTCTCCCATGCCCGGCAGCCTGGCCATGGGCCCGGTCACGAACAAAGCGGGCCTCGATGCCTCACCTCTGGCTGCAGACTCCTCCTACTACCAGGGTGTGTACTCCCGGCCTATTATGAACTCCTCCTAAGAAGGAGCGCTCTAGGCCAGGCCTGGCTGCCTGTGACAGTTTAGGGGCAAAGACAAGAAGAAAGACGACGTGGGATTGAGACTTTGGAGATGAGGTGGGGGCAAAAATTCATGACATTCTCCACCTCCGGGATAGCAGCCTCCCCTCGTTTTCTGTAGCCATTGCCTCCCAAACAGATGAACCACATGGATACATACCTATCATATGGGGAAAAGATAAAAAGTAAAACAAAGCAAAACAAAAACCTCCTCCAATTTCCACTAATGTGTAGACTCCTGTGTTTTTAAGCACCTGCAGGTTCTTTTTGTTGTTGTTGTTATTGTTGTTGTTCATTGCTGTTATTGCAGGGAATTCTTACTTTAAAAACAAAACAAAAAATGTGTGCGTGACTTGGTGTTAAACCATGTAGTTTTAACAGAGACCCCAGAGTTGTACTATTGTTTAAAAAGAGGGGGGAGGGATGTAAAAATCTGTGGTAAATGACCCAGAAAAAGACAAAAGGAAATTAATTTCCATTCTTGAAACGGTGAAATCCAGGTCTGTCGTCTGGTTAAATTATGGTTTCTGTGTGCTTTATTTATGGCTAATAAATGTGTATTCTGGTTGTAGGACCAGAGAGTCACAAATCTATATTAAGTGTTATTGCCAGTTTTATTATTTCTTGGATCTTTTCTTCAAGTTTATCCCAGTCATCCTTAGACCACACGATTGCTTTGGAAATGATTTGGAGGAGAGAGTAAGGTCCTGAATGGTTGCAGGTTTTATTTTATTGTGGGGTGGGGTGGGGGAAAGGGAAGGTGATGGTAGTACTCTTTGCCCCAGAATTGGATTCTAAACCTTTTCTGGCATACCAAAGTTGAAATATTTTGTAATGAACACACATTGACCCATCTCCCTGAGACTGCACTTAACATTTCACAATACTTACTCTATCCCATCTCACCCCTTTCATCAATCAAGTGACCTGAGTTTTAAAAATGGTTTCCAAAGAGGTTGCAGACCTCAGTGTAGTTCTCTTGGAATCATTCAGCATGGACACCAATAACCAAAATATTGTTTAAGGTTCCCTTCAGTGTTCCAGTTTGAGGTAAACTTTACATATAAATAGAACACATAGATCCTGGTTGTACCATCCCACAAGTTGATACAGATTTGTTTTTAAAGCCAGAAGAAAACCTCTCCACATATTTGCATTTTCCTTCATATGGTAGTTAACACCGTATGCTGGTGTTAAGGCCACAAAGTTTCCTTCCTAGGAAATGGCTGGATTGCACGTTCGGTTGCCTACCCAAGTTCAGGATCCTTTTCAAGTTGGGTGCACTACAAGGGGTCTACAAGCTCTTAATGCAGTGGTTTGCCCTTTCACTGTTATCTCTGTACTCTTGTAGAGACCATACCAAAGTCCTACCACTCCTAGACCTCTCCCTACACCCCAGGACGACCCTCTGCTTCCTCGGGAGGAGAGAGGCTGCTGGGTGTATGCTCTCCATTGCCTGTCTTGGAAAAACATTTAAGATAATGACCCAAATCTCCTCTTAAAAATAAGGCATATGTGAAGGTGGATGGAGTCAAGTGGGTTTTCACGTGACTATGGGCAAGCAAGGCGAGATCCAGGGCCTGAGCTTTGCTCCACTCTCTCCTGCCCATACTCTTATGCCTTTGCAAATCATCCTTTACCGCCCTGGAAGGAACGATTGGAAAACCAGGGTTGCAGATCAAAGGGATGAGTGGGTATTTTGTGGGTCTTAAAGAAAAATCCGAAAGGATAAAGACGAGGAAAAAAATTCTTACACATCTAGCTGCCTCTCCCAGATCTCCTTGGCAGTCCTAAATCCGCGACCACAGGCTCTTCGCCCAGGGAAGCCAGCTTTGGCTTTGCCCTGGACATCTGCTGCCCTGTAAACTGGTCGGATGAGGGGGAGAACCAGTGAGTGGCCTTCAGAGTCTTGTAGATTAGGGGTCCCAGTCATTCGCAACTGGTTTACTGTGGGGAAGATCGCAAATCTTGAACCTAGGACTTTTTGCTTCAGGTGGAAGTCCCGGGCCCCTGTTTTCCTGTATTTGATCTTTGGGCTGCTCGACTTTCCTAACCTGGGGGGCTCCCGTTGCGCCACAGCTTTGGAGTCCGCCTCTCCCTAGCACTCTCCCACCTTGCGGGGTCTCAGCTCTTCCAAACCCGGGCCTTCCCACGCGATTGAAG